CGTGCTTGACATCACAGCAGCTGAGAGGATGGGCAGGCTGTGGGCATACTCCGGGCAACCCGCTCTGTTGAGAAGGACCCAGGGCCTTTGGGAAGAAGGGCTGTGTTGACCTGTGGTTGACACCTGCTTTGGGAGTGGCTCATGCTCTGGTGAGCCAACTGTTGGCCACTCCTGGTACATGAGTTCTAACCCAGAGGTTGGCAGTTTGAACCCACCAGCTGCCCTGTGGAAGAAAGATGCAGCGGTCTGCATTAGTAAAGATTTATAGCCTTGGCAGGGGCTGAGGACCACACAGAGGCCTGCCTCTGGGTCTGGCTGAACAGAAGCTGTCCTGATCGAAGAACTGTATCCTGAGTCGGTTCTGATCCTGAGTTGTCCCAGGGGCAGTTTCTCCTCTGTTCTGTAGGGTGGGTGGCTAGGAGCTGGAATGGTCTTGACAGCCTTGGGTCTGGTCTTACTTAAGCCTCTTGCGTGGCATGTGCTGATAGTTCTGTGAGCTGCAGGCTTCTCTGTTCACGTGTGTTCTGCTCCACGTGGAGATGAGAATTCTTAGGAGGCAAGGAAGTGGACCTCTCCCAGGGCTCAGGCCACAACCCTGAGGATCAGGGTAAGTCATGCACCCAGTGCCCCACAGGGCTTCAGGGACCTGCCTGGGGAGAGGCTTCCACAACCCGAATGGGTCTCTCTGTGACCCAGGCTGTCCCCCTTCCCCCAGGCAGAGGGACCAGTCATCTGCAGGTTCCTAGCAGGCCCAGCCCATCCTGGAACCTCAAAGCTGGCATGGCCTTAGTACCCACAGCTCCTGCCTCTTTGCAGGGGTGGTGAAATGGGGCTCAGTCAGGGAGGTGGCTCAGCCCTGCTGGCTACGTGACCCTGGGCAACTCTGATGACCTCTCTGGACTGTATCTCACAGTCTTAGTGGGGCTTGGGGAGAGAATGGTATGAAAGGAGCCTGGGCAGGCTTCCTCTGGGGGCAGTGGGGAGGAGGGAGGCAGCCATTCTGTGTGCTGGCTTCAGGCCGGAGCTGCCCTTCCCGGGGCTCCACCTCCCCATGGGTGATAGGAGGAGGTGGCCAGATGGCCCCAGAGGCCCTGCCTGGCTGCCGTTCCCAAGGTGACCCTAGCCAGCCAGATGGTGACTGGGAGCAAGGCTCCCCCTTCCCTCCAGGGGAGTTGGCTATAGACCTGCCTCTTCCCCTCCCCAGCAGACCCAGCCTTCTAGTTGCCCTGCCCCCATGCCCATTGTCTGCACTTCCGAGCACTTCCACCTGTACCAGGCCTTCCGAAGGTGCTCCGAAGAACAGACTGAAAAGAGCATGGAATTTTCCCATGAACTCTAGGAGACCCCTCTCCAACCATCTCTTTGGAGTTCCCTCTCCGCCACATCCAGGTATTGTTCCCATCCTACAGATGGGAAGGTAGAGACCCAGAACAGTGGCGTGGCTTTCCCAGCTTGCCCAGGGTCACACAGTCTAGGGAAAACAGGGATGGGGCTCAGAGCCAGGTCTGACTCTCAAACCAGTGCTCTGGTCTGTTTCCTGCACCCACCAGGGGGCGGAGTGTCTGGGGATGGCCCCCTCTGTCTCCCGGTGTCCTGACCGCTCCTGACCGCTCTCACCCAGCCAGGCATGCAAGCGGAGTGAAGGGAGGGGGCACTGGAGACAAGGCGTTCCCCTCTGAGAGTCAGCCAGGCAGGGACTCCACCCACCCTGCACCAGGACAAGGCTGGCGGCCTCAAGGCCCCCCGCCCCCGCACCCCAGTGGACTGTCTGGTGGGGAGATGTCAAGGAGACAGCATTACCACACAACCAGCGGGAAGAAGGGCTGGGCTGGGGGCTGCCCAAGTTGTGCTGGGGTCAGGGAGTGCTTCCTGGAGGAGGGAACACAGCGTGTCTGCCAGGCAGGGGAGAAGGGGTGCTCAGGTAAGACAGTGTGAGGTGGGGGGAACTGGACCCAGAGGGAGGCAGAACAGTGGGAGGGTTGGAACCAACTGAGTGGCTCTCGACCCCAGGGCTGTGGGAACCACAAAGGTGCCAGTCAGAGCACACACATGGTGGCTGTGGTAAAGATGATCTGATGACTGGGGCCATGCTGGGGACTGTCCCAGATGTGAGCAGGAAAAGGTGACCTTTACGGACCTGAATGGAATAGAATCGCTTTGTGTATGTGAAGGGGCCTTTATGGAATAGTAGAATGTGTTGTATAATAGAATCGTTGTGTGTACATTAATGGGACTTTATGGAATAGGAGAATTGTGTGTGTGTGGTGTTAAGGGGCTTGTATGGAATAGGAGGATTGTGTGTTTGTGTGTGTGCGTGTGTTAAGGGGCCTGTGTGGAATAGGAGAATTGGTGTGTGTGTGTCTTTGTAACATCTGGAACGGTCAGGGCACCTGGCAGGGTCCATAGAACTCGTCCAGGTAAGTCAGGGGCCACTAAGGCACCAGGAGAACTTGGTGGGTGGCAGAGTTCTAGTGGGGAAACTGAGGCCAGATGCCAGGTTGTGCTCACATATTCAGCATGGGGTGGGGGTGGGGGGAAAGCGTGCTATAAATAGCTCAGGGCTCCATCCCATGAAGCGAGCCTTACCCTGTCCCCCCACCCCTGCCTGACTTGGGGTTCTCTGGCCTCAGTTCCCCTCTAGCTACACAGCAAGGAGCCAGGAGGGCTCAGAAGACCCTCAGTCAGAAGATGTCTTCAAGTGCCACCTTCCCTGTCCTGTTCTTATTCCCACTGTGGTGCTAGACCCAGAGGAGGTTGTGGGGGTCTACCTGGCCCTGAGTCTGGCTGAGGATTCAACAACCATTACTTGAGCGTCTGAAGCGTGGCAGGCACTGGGGACACAGCAGTGGACAAGACAAACCCTCTGACCCCGTGGGGTGACATTCTAATCAGGGAGCCATCTGAACAGAATGTCTGCTGGAGGTGGGGAAGGATCATCAATGCTGGGTCCATTTCAGTGCATTGCTGCCCCGTGTGACCGAGCAGAACTGCCCCTGGGCTTTTGTGGCCTGTGAGTGGGTGGCCAGGCCTTTCTCCAGCCAGCTGCTGGTGGGTTTAAAGTGCCCCGACTTCCCATTAGTAGCCAGTGCCTCACTGAGGCACCAAAGGGGTTATAGTGTGACAAGTGCCATAAGGAAGAAGAGGTAGGAAAGGGACGTAGGGAGCGTGCACATGTGCACGCCTGATGTCCTAGTGGACAGGGGTTGGGATGCCTACCTGAGTGGGAACCAGATATCTGAGGATCAGCTGGAAGGAGGTGACGCAGTAGACGCTATGGCTAGGAGGAGAAGAGACTGCCAGGCAGAGGGAACAGCTGTGCAGAGGCCCCAAGGAGGCAGGACCAGTGATAGTCACTATACACCCAGGACAGGTGACCGAGCACGGGAGAGAAGGCCGAGATGCTTTGGGAAGGCCCATGGCCATACCTTTGGCTTTTCCTCCAAGTGAGCCGGGGGCCAGGGAGCATTCTGGGAGAAGAGGCACATGACCTGGCTTCACACAGCCATCCATGTCCCCCATGGGGGAAAGGGAGGCGGGTGCTAAACAGTGGGGGCTAGTGAGGGACAATGTCTGTCTGGGTCACTGGGAGATGTGTGTCCTCTGAAGCCGCCCAGGTGCTGTGGGGTGAGGCAGAGGTCAGGCATGATAGCCCCGGGGGAGCGGGCCTGGCACTCAGGTGTGTGCCTGCTTCTCACTCACATGGCCTTTGAGAATCACGTCTGGTGTCACCATCCCAGATCATAGCCTGCCTTAATCCCCACCAACT